ACTCCTCATGTCCTACATGCAAAATTCATCATTCACCCAGGTGCCCGGCCACTGCCGCTTAGCCATTCCAGATCCTGAGCTTATTTCCATGCTGAACAAGGGTGGCCCAGGTAATCAGGAGTGTAAGAACAGGGACAGCCTTCTGGGGGCAGACAGGGGTATTGCCGCCTGGCTGGCTGGGCTCCTGCCCTGGAGGGTTCCACCGTCTGGCACCTGTAGTAGCTATTTCCTGGGTTCCAAAGCCTCACTTTCTGCACCTACTTTTAAGCTTAAAATTTCCTCGGATTCTGTAAGCTTCCAGTTCATCCCATACATGTCACACATAAAAAAATCTATCTTTATGAGACACTCACACTCACATTTCTACCTGACATTTTGTTCTTTCAACACAGACACCCTGCAGTTGCCAAACACTTACGTTTATATGTCACTTGCAGACCTCTCCCACCTGCTGTCTACAGGAACAACAACAGCAAAAAGCAACGCTCCTTTACAAATGCCAACCCCACCCTGTCTGGATCCAAGCACTCTGAGTGGGGAAACTCCCTGCCTCGGGTCCCAGCATTGCCATGCTATCTGCTCAGAGTCACCGTCTGTCACCAACACATTGCCCACCGACCCATGATGCACTGCAGAGCCCATGTACCACCAAGGGTGAAAAGAGGAGGCTAAGAGCAACTGACACCTATAGCTACTTCATCCACCTGTGCTAGGAGAATCCCTTGAAAAGTCTGTACTTGTAATCTCCAAATATTTGTATCCATCTGAGCACCCCATCTTCCCCAGCTCAGTAAATGGCACCAGTGGCATTACCCTTTACTCTATAGCTTGAACCAAAGCCTTGGTGCCATCCTTGACGCTCCTCTTCCCCACATCCAATCATTCAGCAAGTCTAGATTATTCTGCTTTCAAAATATGAGGAACCCAACATTTCTCTCCACCCCCACTGCTGCCTCCGTAAGTCCCCCATCGTCTCTGGCCTAGATGCCTGCAACAGTGTTCTACAGAGTCTGTCTGCTTCCACTCTGACCTTCCTGCCACCTATTCTCAACAGAACAGCAGGGTGGTTTTTTAGAACACAGTCACAGAACACTTCTCCGCCTGAAATCCTCCAGTAGCTTTCCTTCACAGAATACAATCTGAACTCCTCACCATGCCAAAAAGGTCCCCATGCTCTGACCCTTCCCCTCATCGTCTCCTGCTCCACTCCAGGACACTGGCCTTCTGCTTCTGGCTCAATCATGCCAAGGTCATTCTGCTTCGGAAACTCTGTGCTTGCTGTTCTCCCCATCTGGAAAACTCTTCCCTTGGATCGTCATGTGCTGAGCTCCTTCGCATTATTCAGGCCTCAGAGGTCCCCTCCCCAGAAAGGCCTTTCCAGACCACTCCACCTCTAAGAGTGCCTCTGCCCCTCTCCATTTCTATACCCTACTTTATTCTCCATGGTACTCATCACTAGCTGAAATTACATTTTCTATTCATCTGTTTATTGTCTATCTTCCCACTGGGATGGGAACAACATGAGGTTAGAGTAGTACCTAGCATACAGAAAATGCTTAATAAATTTTTGTTTAATTAATGAATGTTTTATGATAAACTTAATTTTTTTTTTTAATTTAACCACATGGTGGTCGGGTGTAGTGGCTCACATCTGTAATCCCAGCACTTCGGGAGGCCAAAGTGGGCGGATCACAAGGTCAGGAGCTTGAGACCATCCTGGCTAACACGGTGAAATGCCGTCTCTATTAAAAATACAAAAAACTAGCCAGGTGTGGTGGCGCACACCTGTAGCCGGGTGACATGCACCTGTAGCTACTAGGGAGGCTGAGACAGGAGAATTGCTTGAACCCAGAAGGTAGAAGTTGCAATGAGCCAAGATCGCACCACTGTACTCCAGTCTGGGCAACAAAGCAAGACTCCATCTAAAAAAAAAATAAATTAAATAAAATAAAACTTAACCACATGTATAACTGGCATGCTCTGGCATACTTGGAAAACAAATATACCCATGGAGAAAGACCAGAAGAGAACAGAGAAAAATAAAAGTAGTTGGGATCGGAAATTTTTTTATTTACACCATCCTATTTAATGTTATGCTGTTGTTACAATTTTTTAAAAAATGGCTTTTCTGTCCTAGATGAAAGATGAATGAGGACCTGTCGGTGCCAGAGGGTCACTACCCTACTCACCAGTTGTGAGCAAGAGAAAAGCAACTCCTAATCCCTGGACGCTGGCCTGGTACTATCAGCCAGTCCTTGGTGTTCTCCTTTTCAACATCAGCACCAACATCAGAAAAGGTCACTCTGTGACCATGATGGATGAAGACAAGAACAAGACCACTCTGCAATATATGAACACAGACAAAACATGAACTTTGTCCAAGCCACAAAATACCAAACGTCCTCCTCTCCCAGCTAATGAGTGACTATTGCTTCTTTTTCAATTTCAGCTTTGGCACCACTTTAATCTCCTCTCCCTACAGATATAATTTATTAAAATGCTAAACGACAGAAGTACCCATTTCCTGACAGCATCTAATCCAGAGCAAAGTCCCCAAATCACTATTACAAGCCCAAATCCTATCCTGGCTTCCCAACACCGTCTCCTGAGGTGCTTCATGGCGCCCTTTGGTGTGCCTTCTCCCTCACTGCAGTAAGCTCAACTTGTTCGACTGTAGGTGTGTTCCTAGTTGTGCTTCGCTGGAGGGCACTGATAACTGTCAGGACATCAGTTACCATCATCGGTCATGGTATAGGCAGAAGTCATAGGAGCCTGGCAGGAAAACTGATGACCCCCAGATATGATCTCAGTGTGGGTTCATCTGCCTCTTTTCCTAAAAGTTGGGTGAATGGGCAAAAGAGTCTACTTAATTAAATGCCCCAGTGAATAATGTTACAATCGATCCGGTATGCTTCCTTACCATTGCTGAAAGTCACCCTGAGCGCATGGTCAGAATGGTGCTGGAGGACTGACTCATGGGCAGGGCCTAAGGCAACACCACTCAAGTACTTTAAGCCACATGTTCAAGCCCAATAAATTAGGCCAGGTTTAAAGAAGTCAAGCTGTACACATGTAAGAATTTTAATAAGCTTGGAAAATGCTACCCAGAGCTTATACACAGGCTTACTGTACCAATGGGATTCCCTGCCACCAGCCGCAGCGCGCTAAGCCCCTGACAAGAGCTGTCGAGCATGTGGGGCAGCAGGGACAGGGAGTCTGCTTCGTCCAGGTTTCCTTAGGAGTTGGGGACTCACAGCAGAAGGCTGGCAGCCAGATGGATAGAGAACAGAATCGGGCAGGCAACTCAGTGGAGCCAACGGCATTTACTAGGAAAACACGCCGAGGGTTTCTTTGGTGCGAATCTGGTCCTCACACACCCTTCTAGAAACCAGCAAACACTGTAATCAATGTCTGCATTTATCAAATGCCTGTTTGTACCCAGAACTGTGTTAGGTACAATAGAGAGTTATTTAAGCAAACATGGTCTCTGACTTCTAGATGCCGACACCCAATATAAATAAAAACAATAAATCTGTCCAAAGGATTACCAAACTAACTGAACAAACAACATGGTCAAAAGCATTTACCTTATATAAATGCAGTGGAGTAATAACTGAAGGGAAAGTCATGGGAGATGACTCTCTAAACAGGGTGGGGCCCTAATGGAACAGTTACCCTGTTAAAGCTGACTCTCCAAGGGGGAGGTCAGGTTTTAAGGAAAGGTTCAGGATCTGGCTACTGGGCTGGAGAAAAATAACCCAATCAGGGAAAAGGGTGCAGCCTGGGAGATGATTTAGAGCTAGAAATTTAACTGCAGGAAGAAAGAAAATTTACCAACAACTCAGAAAAAGTAGAGGAAAATACGTCAAGCAGGTATATCTTCCTCAGCCAGTTTTATTCATGCCCCCTTCAGATAAATATAGAAAGCTTAGGCTGGGCACAGTGGCTCACACCTATATGCCCGGCACATTACGAGGCTAAAGCAGAAGGATCGCTTGAGGCCAGGAATTTGAGACCAGTCTGGGCAAGATAGCCAGACCCTGTCTCACCAAACAATACAAAAATTAGCTGGGTGTGGCACATGCGTATAGTCCCAGCTACTCAGGAGGCTGAGGTGGGAGGATCACCTGAGCCCAGGAGGTCAAGGTGGCAGTGGGTCACAGTCACACCACTGCACTCCAGCCTGGGCAAAAGAGCAAGGCCCTGTCTCAAAAAATAACAATCAATAATAAAAAACTTACACTGTCTTTCACTGTTATTTAAAATTTCACACAAAAAAAACCCTAAATATCCTAACCAACACCAAATCAAAGCAATAGTAGTTTCAGAATTTGTTTTCCAAATAACACAAACCACCCACTTTCCCCAGAGCTAAACATCGCCCAGGTGGGTGACAGCAACTGTCAACAGGATGTAACTCTGTCACTGAATTCTTAAAGAAGGGAAGAGTTGAATCCTGGATCTACATGGGACCAGACAAATGGGATAATCAGAAAGAGTTACAGCCTAGGCCGGGCACGCTAGCTCATGCCTGTAATGCCAGCACTTTGGGAGGCTGAGGTGGGCGGATCATTTGAGGTCAGGAGTTCAAGACCAGCCTGGCCAACATGGCAAAACCCTGTCTCTCCTAAAAATACAAAAATTGGCTGGGCATGGTGGCTCACACCTGTAATCCCAGCATTTTGGGAGGCCGAGACAGGTAGATCACCTGAGGTTGGGAGTTCAAGACCAGCCTAACCAACATGGAGAAACCCCATCTCTTCTAAAAATACAAAAAATTAGTCAGGCATGGTGGCGTATACCTGTAATCCCAGCTATTTGGGAGGCTGAGGCAGAAGAATCGTTTGAACCCAGGAGGCAGAGGTTGCGATGGGCCAAGATCACGCCATTGCACTCCAGCCTAGGCAACAAGAGTGAAACTCTGTCCAAAAAAAAAAAAAAGTTACAGCCTAAGTTGATAAAAATAGACCCCAGCTCTGGCAAGAATTTATAACAATTACCTGATTAAAATTTTGGAAGAAGAACTCTTTGTAGATGGCATCTCTCTCACTTAATTCCGACCATCCTGCTGCTTTAAGGTCAAGTATAGCTTGGTTCCTCTCCTCTGCCGTCAACCCGTGAGTGCCTGATGACTATGAAGAGAACACATTTCATATCTGAAAATGCAGAAGTTTACTCAAACTCAAACTTACAGCTCCTTACCTTAAACAGAGTCATAGAAAAATCTGAAAGGCAACAAATTTTAACCATCTTTCATTCTTTTGTTCTCATAAGAGAGACCAAGCAAGGCTAGCGCTGTGAAAAATAAGCTGCCTCCATGATATGTCACCTCTGGCCCCCTTACTGCTGCCTCAAACTTCACAATTCGGCTTCTCTGGTTGGTTGGTTTGCTTTTTGAGGGAGGGTCTTGCTCTGTCATCCTGGCTGGAGTGTAGTGGTGCAATCACAATTCACTGCAACCTCTGCCTCCCGGGCCCAAGCGATCCTCCCACCTCAGCCTCCTGAGTAGCTGTGACTACAGGGGCACACCACCACGCCCAACTAATTTTTAGTATTTTTGGGTAGAGACATGGTTTCACCATGTTGCTCAGGCTGGTCTCGAGCTCCTGAGCTCAAGGGATCCACCTGTCTCAGCCTCCCAAAGTGCTGGAATTACAGGCATGAGTGACCACACCCAGCCCTTCTGTGGTTTATTATATGATACAACAAAGATTGACCATTACCACTGGCCATCTTGGACCCTGCAGCATTCCAGGACTTGTGGCAAGTCTATTGGCAGAACCAGAATTAGAATTCAAGGCTCCAAACTCCTGGTCTATTGCTCTTTGGATGGCCCTACATCACCTCAGTAGCCTTCACTACTCTCTGTTGTATCTATAATAAGCCAAAGAAGCTGAATTGTGATGTCTGAGGCAGCAGTGAGGGGGCCAGAGGGAACATAACATAGAGGGAGCTTATTTGTACAGAGCTAGCCTGCTTTGGTCTGTCTTTTGAGAACCAAAAGAATGAAAGATGGTTTTAATGATTTGGAATTACCATCTCCTGTCACATCTAATGAAAACCAATCCCCAGAGGGGAAAAAAACAAATGCACATTTACATAGGATTTTATCTAACTTCTGGGGGTCCAAAGATCCTCTGGACTTGAGGTAAAAAGCCATAACCTCAGTGGGGTGAGTTTACGTAACCCTTTTTTCAGAGCACCAGCAAGACAAACTCCATAGTCTGGCCAGAGAACTGCCCAGTCCAAAGCACTTGTGTGCACTGTCTGCCGTTTCTACTCACTCTGGTGAAGACATTCACAAACCCAGGTTCTGTTGGTTAACAGGCCCACACCTCCCATGCTGTTGGTTTTTTTAACCAAAAGAACTTTAAACATCGGGGCCAGAGAGATGAGATGGACACTCTACTGGAAGTCAGGAAAGCTGAGTTCTCATTCCAGGCAATACTTCCTGCCTTACCTACTTGCAGAGTTACCGTAGCCTCTGGTGAGGGAGAGGCTGTCACCCAGAAAGATGAACCAATGTGAAGGCTTGTCATCAAAGGGCAACTGTGGGCTAAGCTGCGTTCCCCAGATTCTCTGCCATTAAGCTACAACTCACTCCCACTTCAGAAATCCTAAAATCTTTTATCACTAATATTAAGAGAGCAAAAAGATTTTACCTTTAGACAACTTATTCTATAAAGATGAAGAAAAAAATACTAAGGAACCAGCTTTCTAGTCTTTGCTAGATCAGCTATTCTTCCCCACAACTAACAAAAGGAAAGAATGAGAGTACTTTTTTTTCTGAGACCAAGTCTTGCTCTGTCACCCAGGCTGGAGTGCAGTGGCATGATCTCAGCTCAATGCAATCTCTGCCTCCCAGGTTCAAGCCATTCTTCTGCCTCAGCCTCCCGAGTAGCTGTGATTACAGGCACATGCCACAAGACCTGGCTAATTTTTTTTAATTTTTAGGAGAGACAGGGTTTCACCATGTTGGCTGGGCTGGTTTCAAACTCCTGACCTCAAAGGATCTGCCCTCCTCAGGCTCCCAAAGTGCTGGGATTACAGGCGTGAGCCACCATGCCCGGCTGAGGGTACTTTTTAATTAAACAAAAGTATGTAAAAGCTTTTTATTAAAAAAAATTACTTACTAGGTTAGTTGGGCATGGTGGTACATGCCTGTAATCCCAGCTGTCCAGCCTGGGCAACAGAGTGAGGCTCCATATTAAAAAAAAAAAAAATTTTTTTACTAGGTTACTAGGGCTAGGGACAGTGGCTCACATCTGTAATTCTAGCACTTTGGGAGGCTGAGGTGGGAGGATCATTTGAGGCCAGGAGTTCAAGACCAGCCTAGGCAACACGGTGAGGCCTCAGCTCTACAAAAGGATTTTGAAAATTAGCCAGGTGTGGTGGAGCAGATCCATAGTTTCAGCTACTTGGGAGGCTGAAGTGGGAGGATCACTTGAGACCAGGTGTCCGAGGCTGCAGTGAGCTATGATCACCACTATATTCCAGCCTGGGCAACAGAGTGAGACCCTGTCCCTTAAAAAAAAAAAGAAAGAAAAGTAATAAATAAATAGTAAATAGTAAACCATTTACTATTAAGAATCAAAATATCCATTCATCAGTTTTTCAATGACAGTTCTGAAACACACATATATCAATTATAAGAAATTTAAAATTCTTATTAAACGCTTATTTTGTCAACTCAGAGGATTTTGGAAAAGAAATAGAATTATGTGTGTCCACATTGAGTAGCTGCAAAGAAACCCATTACACATGCTGTCTGTAATGAAGCAGGCACCTGGTGTCTGTGGAACACACTCCGAGCTGTTTTCTCCGAGTGCTGGACCATCCACATCCCCACTAAGATCAATGTATGCACTTTATGCCCACAACAGACACCTGCCCAGTAGCAGGGACTATGCCCAGGACTGGGAAATGGAGCCACTTCATCAACATAACATCAAAGGTCCCCTTGAGGACACATTCGCAGCAGAATCCCTTGTGCTGGGCTTAATTTGTTCAGGGAGTGAAGGGGGACTAAGATTTGAAGACAGTAAACTTGATCTAAGGCCTAGCTTTGTTACTTTTAGTTGTGGGATGCTGAACATGGCTTTTCTGAATTCTGAGGTCCTTCTGTCTGTAGTGGGGATATTATAATATCTACCTGCCAAGATTTTTTGAAAGGCTTAGATTACAGATCTTGAATATGAGTGCACCTAGCATTGAGCCTGGCACGTGGCAGGGCTCAAATCATGTCTTTTGATTCATTCCTTCCCAGAACACCTTAATCTTAATGGATCACTACCACCTGGGGCAGAGTATACCTGGAGAAACGCCTAGATGACAGTAGGCATTCAACTTGTGTTCTCCCTTTCGTGGCCAGGAAGCTGCGGAGTGCTCATCTTCCTCCATCTACAAGCTATTTTAAATTTCTTCTATTAAAGAATTTCAGGCCAGAGACGCTGGCTGACGCCTGTAATCCCAGCATTTTGGGAGGCCGAGGCAGGTGGATCACCTGAGGTCAGGAGTTCAAGACCAGCCTTACCAACATGGCGAAACCTTGTCTCTACTAAAAATAAAAATAAAAAAATTAACTGGGCATGGTGGTGGGCGCCTGTAATCCCAGCTGCTCGGGAGGCTGAGGCAGGAGAATAGCTTAAACACGGGAGGCAGAGGTTGCAGTGAGCCAAAATCGCGCCACTGCACTCCAGGCTTGGCGACACAGCGAGACTCCGTCTCAAAACAACAAAACAAAACAAAGCAAACATTTCAAACCGAAATGGGTGGTTAAAGTGCAACTTAAAAGGACATGGTGAATTTAACACATTATTTTCCCACTAGGTGGTGCTGCATGTTAAAACTTTCCCCCATTTACTCCAAACTTAATTTCTACAGCAGGAAAACTGACTGAAGGCCCCTTGGAAGAGGAAAGAAAAGCCAGTATGTCACCAAAAAACACAATTTATTAATAACTCCTCCAAAACCTCGGTGGGCTCCCCATGGAGTGAAGCACGAGCAGGGAGCCGCCGTAGGGAGCCGGGCCCGCAGCGCCGTTCGTCCTCAGCACCGCGAGCGGCAACGAGCACCGAATCGTTCTGCAACTACTTTTCACGTCTGCCTTTTGTGGCTGAACAAAACTCGTTCCCGTTTGTTTCCGGTTGGTAAGTTCGCAGGCTTCAGCCGAAGTATTAAGCCAACAGGCAAGTGGCGGAGGCTGCGGACACTTCGGTCTCTGAGCGGCGCGCCGGGCAGGTGCTCGCTCTCGGGACGCAGTGACCCAACCCCCGATGCCCAAGGCCCGGCCCACGCAGCTGCCGCCCCAGTCCCACTGGCCCTTCAGCCGACACCGCAGGGCCTTGCGCTGCCCCCCAGTCCCCGCCCCCGCGGCCGCTCGACACTCACCATGGCCGCAAGCCCCGGGCTCCGGTCTCGGAGCGCCGACAACACGCGCCGCGTAGCCCCCCACGCCCAGAGCGCCGCCGCCATGGCTGTCCGCCGAGGGCTGCCCCGCGCGCTGCCTGCCCGCAGCCCACAGCCGCCCCCGACCCGGCCCCGCCCAGCTACCGCCACCCAGTAGTCTCCCGGCGTGGCCGGCCCGGAGCTGAAGGCAGTGCGGGCTGCAACCAGCCGTCCGGCGGGCACAGGCGCAGCCCGGACCCCGAAGGCCCCCAGGAGCTTCAGCGGTCGCCATAGCCCTTAGCCACCAGGTGGACTCTGCTCCCCCCACTGCCGCAGGCCCCGGAGCCGCGCGCAGCCCCCGCTCGGTGCCAGCCTGTCGCGTCTGTGCCCGGGACGCAGGCCGGCTGGCGCGCGCTGGCCTTGCCTCTGGTCCTCCCTGCGCGGGAAGGAACCTTGTCCCGCCTCAGGCGCCGGCCGCCTCCGCTTCGCGGGCGCTGGCACCGAGCTGGACTTCCCGCTGGGCGGCGCTGCGCGCAGTGTGCGCGGACAGGAGGATGTCGCGGGCCTGGTCAGGGACACATGAACGGCGGGTGCTCGGGGGCCACCCCCTCTGTTTTCATTCAGTACTAGCTGGGGCAATGAACCACGGCAGTTCCCATCGGGGGATCGTAAGTCTTACAGCCATGGGTTCGAACGTAGGCTCTGTTCAGTCATCGCGCAGCTGCCAAGTCCTTGAGCCAGGTGGCTCAACTACGTTTGTCTGGACCAAAGGGTGTGGAAACCCGGCCTATAATCCCCTCTCAAACGTGCCCGTGTCCTGTATCCCCAGGCTCAGCACACAGTAGGCACTCTGCAGACAGCTGTGAATAGATTTAGGTGAATCTTCTCTTGCATCATTTCTGGGGAGGAATTACTTTTTTTTTTCTTCTCTTTTTTGAGATGTAATTGACATACTATGAAAATCACCCCTTAGCCGGGCCCGGTGGCTCACGCCTGTAATCCCAGCACTTTGGGAGGCCGAGGCGGGTGGATCACGAGGTCAAGAGATCGAGACCATCCTGGTCAACATAGTGAAACCCCGTCTCTACTAAAAATACAAAAAATTAGCTGGGCATGGTGGCTCGTGCCTGTAATCCCAGCTACTCAGGAGGCTGAGGCAGGAGAATTGCCTGAACCCAGGAGGCGGAGGTTGCGGTGAGCCGAGATCGCGCCATTGCACTCCAGCCTGGGTAACAAGAGCGAAACTCCGTCTCAAAAAAAAAAAAAAAAAAAAAAAAAATCACCCCTTAAAGCGTATTGTTTTAAGACTATTCATTTGTATCTTTTTTTTTTAACTAAAAACTTTAAGCACGCTGGACATGGTGGCTCATACCTGTAATCACAGCACTTTGGGAGGACAAGGCAGGAGGATCACAAGGCCAGACATTCAAGAGCTGCCTGGCTAACATGGCAAAACTCCATCTTACTAAAAATACAAAAATAAGCCAGGCGTGGTGGTGCACGCCTGTAGTCCCAGCTACCCAGGAGGCTGAGATGGGAAGATGGCTTGAGCCTGGGAGGCTGCAGTGAGCCGAAATCTAGGCACTGCATTCCAGCAACAGCAAAATACCCTGTCCCTCACCCCCCTCAAAAAAAAAAAAAAAAAGGTTAAGCAAATTAATAAGCAGAGGATATAGCAAAATATTTTTTTTAATGAACAAGAGTCCATTTAACGTCAACTTAGCAGTTGTTAGCAGTCCATACATATGGACCTAGAAAAAAGAAAGCATTTTCATGGGCTTCTGTCCTGACCTACCTTCTTCCCATTTGCCCATTTGACAAAATGTAACCATTTCGACGGTGCGGTGGCTCACATCTGTAATCCCAGCACTTTGGAAGGATGGCGCAGGTGGATCAGTTGAGGCCAAGAGTTCAAGAGTAGCCTGGACAAAGTGGTGAAACCCCATCTCTACAAAAAATACAAAAATTAGCTGGGTGTGGTGGTGCATACCTGTAATGCCAGCTACTGAGGAAACTAAGGCAGGAGAATTGCTTGAACTGGAGAGGTGGAGGCTGCAGTAAACCAAGATCACACCACTGCACTCCAGCCTGGCAACAGAGCAAGACTCTGTCTCAAAAAAAAAAAAAAAATCCAAAAAGATGTAACCATTTCAAAAGCAAAACTTGGGAGGAATCACACTGGGGGCCCTGATCAAATGTCACTAAAGAATTAAAAGTTGTATTTCTGACATTTACATTGAGTGTTTATGATCATGAAAACTATTCAGATTTTCCCATTAAAGAACTGAAAAATGAACTGGTGGATGTGAGTTAACAAGTGAACCTTCATTATTTTCAGTAAATTTGCTTTCATCATTTTCCTTCCTTAATACCACCGTATGAAACTGTGGCACCTTGGATCTAGTCACTGGCCAGGCGAGGTGGCTCACACCTGTAATCCCAGTACTTTAGTAGGCTGAAGCAGACAGATCGCTTGACCCCAAAAGTTTGAGACGAGGCTGGGCAATGTGGTGAAACCCCCATCTCTACAAAAAATACAAAAATTAGTCGCATGGTGGTGCATGGCTGTAGTCTCAGCTACTGAGGAAACTGAGGCAGGAAAATCTCTTGAACCTGGGAAGCGGAGGTTGTAGTGAGCCGAGATCGGGCCACTGCACAACAGCTTGGGCAACAAGAGCAAAACTTCATCTCAAAAAAATAAATTCGATCATTCATATCTAGTCGAAAAAACAAATGGCAGATGCTAGGGCCCAGGGAAATGATGTCCACTGATAGGGGCTGTGAACTGCCTGCCCACACACGTAGCTCCCCAATTAACAGGATTTAAGTCTCTTAGCAAAGATTTACTGGCCACATCCTCTGTAGTGGATGCCATACTTAGCTTGGGCTGTTTAGCTGGTCGATCACTTCCTTTTCACTTTCCCTCAACACTACTGGTGTTTTTGTTTTGGTTTTCTGATTTTGGGGTTTTGAGACATGATCTTGCTCGCTCGCTCACCCAGGCTGGAGTGCAGTGACACAACTACAGCTCACTGAAGCAATCCTAGGATTCCAGGCACGAGTCCCCGCACCTGACAGTACCAGCGTTCTGTATACTTCAGCCCCCTCTCCAGGGACTCTGCTCCACATTTCCCTCCACAGGAATCCCATGTAGCTGGGCCATGATGCAGAGGCAGGGCAGGGTGCCATCCCACATAGAGGTTTTGGAGTAAATTTAAAGCCTCGTCCAGTCACTGAAAGCTGCATGAATGAGAGCAAATTATTGACAGCCTCAGGTTTTTTTCTTTTGTTTGAGACGGTCTCACTCTGATTGCCTAGGCTGGAGCACAGTGGCACAATTACAGCTCACTACAGCCTCAACTTCCTGGGCTCAGATGATTCTCCCACCTCAACGCCTCAAGTAGCTGGCAGTACAGGGACACACCACCCTGCCCAGCCAATTTTTTGTATTTTTAATAAAGACACAGTTTCACCTTGTTAACCAGGCTGATCTCGAACTCCTGGGACTCAAGCAATCCACCAGTCTCAGCTTCCCAAAGTGCTGAGATTATAGGCATGAGCTACTGTGCCCAGACAGTTTATTCTCTAAAATGAGGATATTCAAACAAAATAGTCTACGTAAAGCATCTAAAACAGTATGTGGCACTCTACAGTAATTACTCAAATGTTAGTTATGATAAGAGATGGACTCACCAGAGTTTTCCTTACATTGTATTTATAAGTATACACGTGAAGATTCAAATCCCAGCTTCAACTTACAATCTGTGTAACCTGGGCAAGTTATCTAACTCTCTACGCCTCAGTGTGCTCATTTGTGAAATGGAAATAACGTGCCATTCTGAGATATGGTAATGACCGCATGCCAGTGACCACCCCAACCACAGCTGTTCACAACATGACACATAAAAGTTACAAACTCCCATTCATTACAACACTCTAAGAAGGAGACTTATCTGAGGTTTTGGTTTGGTTTTGTTTGCTTTTGAGACAGACTTTTGCTCTTGTTGCCCAGGCTGGAGTGCAATGGTACAATCTCGGCTCACTGCAATCTCTGCCTCCTGGGTTCAAGTCATTATCCTGCGTCAGCCTCCCAAGTAGCTGGGATTGTATGCTACCACACCTGGCTAATTTTTTTGTATTTAGTAGAGGTGGGGTTTCACCATGTTGGTCAGGCTGGTCTGGAACTCCTGACCTGAGGTGATCCACCCGTCTCAGCCTCCCAAAGTCCTAGGATTACAGGCGTGAGCCATCATGCCCAGCCTGAAGTTTTATTTCTATAGAATTTAGGGTGCCTTATGAAATAAACATTCAACTACTCTAAAATCCGGGAAATGATATAAAAGTATCACGAGGTAATTAGCTGTCATATCTGAATTTAAAGGATCTTTTGGAAATAGGTTTTCAAAAAATTTGTTTAAATTACATGTTGTCTCTTTACTAAATGTGTCTTGAACTAGACCAAAATCAACTTGTGGGCAAGAACAGTGTTTTATACTTCTACACTTTTTTTTTTTTTTTTTTTTTTTGAGAGAGTTTCACTCTTGTTGCCCAGGCTGGAGTGCAGTGACATGATCTCGGCTCACTGCAACCTCCACCTCCTCGGTTCAAGCAATTCTCCTGCCTCAGCTTCCTGAGTAGCTGGTATTACAGGCACCCACCACCATGCCCGGTTAATTTTTTGTATTTTTAGTAGAAACAGGGTTTCACCAAGTTGGTCAGGCCAGTCTCGAACTCTTAACTTCAAGTGATCCTCCTGCCTCAGCCTCCCAAAGTGCCGGGATTGCAGGTATCAGCCACCATGCCCGGCCTGCAAGGAACATTTTAAGGTTCAATTAATGCATGTTGGTTAGATAACCATGACTAAAATATATACATTAGCATAGAACTGATAATAATTGAGTTTTAGTTACAGCATTTATTTTCTCCTAACATCTGCCTTACCCAGAAACAACTTAAAACACTTCAGATTTTTTGAGTGAAAGCAGAGATCACAAACATCAAGGCGTTTGACTCTTTTATTTTCCTTCACTTGCTACTTGAGGGGTCACACTAACCAATTCTAGTTACATACTTTCCTGCTATAGACTCTGGAAAAAAAAGTTGCAAAAAAACAGAAAACTAACCTTCTTAAACATATATAAGGAATCAAGGGTTTCCTAAAACTATAATCTGAGAGTCCTCTTTTGCCTTCTGTATAGTAAGCATGTCATTCTACTCACTATTCTACCAGAACACGTCTTCACATTTCAAACTGGATCACGTTCAGGTAGTAAAAACAAGAATCGTGCACTCTATTGAATATTTTTGCATTT